ACATGAAAAAATTAGAGGGAAGGAGAAAATTTTTATTTACTTTATTTTTTTAATTTTTTTAATTTAGTTGTTTATCTAAATAAGAGAAAAAGAATGAAAAAGAATGAAAGAATATAATTTTCTTTTTTTTCCTTAACCCAAATATACAGTAAAAAAATTTAAAAAACACTTAATATTAGTCCTTATTTCATAGTCCAAATATAAATGTTTTTTTTTCCCTTTTCTTCTATTATTATTATTCCACTTAAGGATGCAAATAATATCAATTCTTTCTTCTTTTAATTTAAAAACTACAATTAAATAAAATTTAATACTTGTGAGTAGCACATGGAATCATTTTACTATTTCTTGCTTAACATTAAATAATATAAATTAATAAACTTTTCTAAAATATGACACAAACTAAGTAATCTAAACACTAATATTTTGTAATTAAATCTTTTATTAAAAATAATCTTTCAAATGAAACATTTAAATTTTATTATTAAGAGTTGAATAAACCTTAAATTTACATCAAGAGTTGATGGTTGGAAAATAATTCATTAGAAAAATGTACATAGGGAGCATTGAGGGAAGGAGTGAGTTTAAACGGAGACTACTTGACCTTCATTTTCTTGACTATTTATTTATATATTTTTTAAGATAATAAATTAATGTTATTTTGTTATCTCTTAATTTTCATTTAAGAGTTTTTGAATATTTAGATAATGAGCTTTCATGTTAAGCTAATAAATGTAATTGTTGGAGAGTTTATGTTTTTCTATTGCACTTGATTCTTGGTTTTCTAGATTCTTCATTTTTTTAAGTTAGTAAATTAATGTTTAATTTTTACCTAAAATTTTCATTTATTATTTATTATTATCATTTAAAAGTTTTTTTTATAAAGTTAATAAATTAATGTTGCCTCTTCATCTATTATTTAAAGTTGCCTCTTTATCTACTAATTTCATTCATCATTTATTTTTATTATTTTCAATTTTTTCACCACATGCACTTCCATTTTTATTGGTTGGTTTTATTAAATGCATATCTTGATTAATGCATATGATAACATTTTATATAATATATAAATATAGATAGATATAAATAGATAAATATAGATATAGATATAGATTCTAAAAATAATAATAAATTTTGATTCATGTTTAAAGTTATAATAAGATAGAAATTACATCTAAGATCATTACCCCTCTCATCTCCAAATTTCTCACTCATTTTAATATTTTGTTTTTTTTTTTTTATAGAACTCATTTTAATATTCAAATTTGAAATATCTACTATGTAAATAAATTAAGAGCTATACTATAATAAATAAAATAAAATAATATATATTTTTGAAAAAAGTTAACAAAATATTTTGTTGAGGAAGAAACATAAAAAGAGAATTCAAAGCTTCCTTAACAACTAAAGAACATATGAAAATTAGAACAAACTTATGGCAATGACAATTAATTTAGAATTGAAGGGCATAACCATAATTAGACCTTAAGATTCATATTCATTTTATATTTATTTTACAACCTTCTTTAGGAATTACAACCTTAATAAAAACCGTCATTTTTTTGTGGACAGCAAAGGTGTACCTAGACAAATTTTTGCACATTTTGAAATTATCCTTTCTTTAAATTATTTTTAAAGGTTTTTTTTTTTTACTAACATCTCGGTATACGATAGTTATATTGAGTCTCGATTAATTAGGAATCGAGTCAGGTCAGACTCTATTAAGAAAAAAACTCTTCAAATGCTTATTTTCTTTATTTAACACTTAAATTCGAGATTTTAAATAAAAAGAACCAAGTTTTTCCACTCCAACTAACAGGTCGTATTAACTTAATATATTTAAAAAAATTAATTTTAGAACTCAAAATTTAAACTTGATTTTAATAAAATGACACTTGTTAATCTAGTTATGAGAATTAATTTTTTTTGGTATTTTCAATTATCCTCATACAAATATTTACATATTTTAAAACTAATTTTTTCTTATATAATTTTAAGAATGTTACTTTTATATTTTTTTCTGTATTTAAAAAATTAGTTTTTTTAAATATTAGCACAAAACTTAATTTTTCAACATTATTCACAAAACCACACTTTATTTTATTAATAGATCCATTACTATAGGAGTTAATAATAGCCTTCATTTTATTACAAGTTAAAATTGAAGTAAAAATCTTTGTTTAGTTATTTATTTATGAAATCCATATATTACTATTTAAATTATATATTAAAAATGTAATATAATATAATATATAAATTTTATTTTTAATTTACAGTCTATTCTGTATAATATTTTTCTTATTAATTTATTTTGGAGGCTTTTTTTTAATGAAAAAAAAAAAACTATGGGATCACTTTCCTCCAGTCCCGCTACAGAAGGAGACGTTAGCTCGTTATACTTGGCAGAGCAGAGGCGAACAACAATGCCAGGAACAGTAGTTTAACCATAATCTCTCCGACAAAATCGTTTAGCTGAGAGAAGAGCCACGAAAATGCGCGAAATCCATGGGCGCTCCAAGAACGCGTTCTTCTCAAACCAACCCAAACCGACACTCTCACAACAAACCAACTCCCCCCTCTCACTCCACCGGAACGATTTGCCGTCTCCATTTCTTTTATCTTCTCTTCAATCTCCGTCAGAATCATCGCATTTTGGCATTTCGCTTGCCCAATCCCTTCCTAATAAAATCTCATCCATGCTATTCCCCTCCGGCCGTTGCCTTTCCTTTCACGAGACCAGCATTGAGGTTGTCTATTGTCAAATTCTCAGGTGCATTGGGCTGAAAAACGTATAATCTGAAATGTTTCATCGGGTTTGATCGCCATCACAGCCTGTGAATTCGACATTGACGTGAGATTATATACTTTATGACTCTTCTTGTTTAGAAACTGGAATTTCACCTTTTCTATTATTCTGATGAAGCTTCTTGTTACATGACATATTTTAATTGCTACAGGGGATGCAGGGTGAGATTAATGTTGGTACTCATGTCTGGGTTGGAGATCCAGATTTAGCTTGGACAGATGGGATCGTGGTTAACATTGAAGGAGATGAAGCTGAGATTCAAACTTCTGATGGAAGGATGGTGAGAAAAATTATTAAACTATGGTGTTTTTATTTCTGATTTAATAAGAAATACGTGTAGATCATTAGAGTGTTTGGGTGGTTTACTTGCTAAATGCTAACTATGTATGGGCATGGGAGCTGGCAGGATTGATTTCCCAATATAGCATAAGTTAGACATAATTAGAATGGAAACAACCTATGTGTTTATAACGATATACATCAGTTTCTGGAAAATAGATAAAAACCAAAATAAAGATGTGATGCCCTACTGAATTTTTCATTCGAAAGTCAAGCTCCCTGTTTATCTTTTCCATTACCCATCATTGAACTTCTTCATATTAATATATTATTATGTTGACCAGGTTGTTTCGAATTTTTCAAAAATACGCCCAAAGGATTTGGAAGCTCCTGATGGGGGAGTTGATGACATGACCAAGCTAGCCTATTTGCATGAGCCAGCTGTCCTGCATAATTTGGCAACCAGATATGGAGTAAATGAAATATATGTAAGATCAATTTCTCTTTCTGTTTCAAATTTGTGTTCACCCTGGTGAGAGGGAATCTCTAATTATAGTAGCTATGGGCTGCTCTGTCATAATTATTTGACATCATGGCAGACATATAGTGGCGACATTCTCATTGCTGTGAATCCATTCCAAGGACTCCCATACGTCTATGATGCTTGTGTGATGGAACAATACAAAGGAGCAGCGCTTGGAGAGCTCAGCCCTCATGTTTTTGCAATTGCTGATGTTGCATATAGGTAACCATGTGCACCTGCCCTGGATATTTTTTTCCTTAGAGATCGTGAAGTTATTCAACTAAATTGCATGAATGTTTACTAGGGAAATGATTAATGAGGGAAAAAGCAACTCTATACTGGTCAGTGGTGAAAGTGGAGCAGGTAAGACTGAAACAACTAAAATGCTTATGCGCTACCTTGCATATTTGGGTGGCCATGCTGGCACTGCTGCTGATGGACGAACTATTGAAAAACAAGTTCTAGAAGTAAGCTGGATGATTTAACTCTAGTCTTAAATCTGAAGTAAGCTAATGTTTCATACTTTGTTTTTGCGATTATGCTTTGGTTAGAACCAAGTTGATGCCTATGGGGATACAAAGTGCTGATTAAAAAGTTTCTAGACTCCTGGAAGCATAACTAATTACACAAAAACACCAGAGATTGATGAAAAGGATTGAATCTGTAGGTACAGTGACTTAAATTACATTGAGTATGATGTTATGCAGGAGTATGATGAAGGCATGTATTTTCACGACACCTCCCTAAGGGTTCTCCTTTTGTTTTCTATATGGTTTGAATTGTAAGGCAGAACCTTATCATGAATTCTTTTAAAAAGTACAGATTTGCTTGTAGAATAATGGAACAAATTCTGGTGCTTTAACAACATGGAAATTTTCCTTTCATATACCTAACTAATAAGAATTTTTATAGTTTTTTTTTACTTCCTATCCTACTACAATTATAAGGAAAAGAAAAATGTTTTCTTCATTGAACACGAAATAGAAGTGGTGAAAGGGAACAAATCCTTTGAACCTGATCCCGGATGTTTTCTCCTGAAAGACTGCCTTCATTGACTGGTGTAGCATTACACAAAACAAACCTTGCATTTGTATGGAAAAATCTGGGCACATATGATAAAAGAAAACATGTGGATCTGTCAAAAGTTTAGCACTCAGTTGAAATAAGCCATTTAACAACAGGAAGAAATTTGATTTAACAGAGAAAAAACATTTTCTGAAAGAATCTTAAATTTAGAGGCAATTGATTGATTCAATTGCAGACGTGGTACCTTCAGGACCATCTTTCCTAGTTTCCCAAAATTGTGTCTAGAAGTTCCACTTGCCTTTTAAGTTCCTTAAGTCTTCCTTTCCTTCATTCATTTGATTTTGAATGTGATGGTGGCCTTTCTATACCACCTGCATCAATTCATCTTTATATTGGCTCCTTTTTGTGTGAAGCTTACATACTAACTGGCTCTGGCTTCATGCAGTCAAATCCTGTTCTTGAAGCCTTTGGAAATGCAAAAACTGTCAGGAATAACAATTCCAGGTGAGAAATTGTCATGCTTTGGAAATCGCAAATTGGTTTTAAGTTTTCATGTTTGCCTTTGACATGTAATCAATATTTTCCATCTGTGCCAAAGACTTCTGCTTCCACTTTCATCTCTCTAGAAAATTGTACATAATATCTAGCTAAACTCTCCAACTCTATTTTTGATAACTTTCCAGTTGATCTAAAGCAGATTTGCTCTATGTGATTTATGGTATGGTTTAAATGTTGCATGACCAGACCTAAAACTTTGCAGGTTCCTTCTCTAAAGGACAAAAAAAATTATATATATATATATATATATATAGAAGCATTGCAGTAGCTTCTTTATCCTTTATATGAATTTCTTTGCAAGAAAATTGTTTGGTAATTTTAAACTGTCTCTTGTTCATTCAGTATTACATATTGTTGATATTCTCTTGGAATTGATGCCACAGTCGTTTTGGAAAATTTGTTGAGATTCAATTTGATAATCATGGACGAATATCAGGAGCAGCCATCAGAACATATCTTTTAGAAAGATCTCGCGTTTGTCAAATTTCAGATCCTGAGCGGAACTTCCACTGCTTTTACCTGCTTTGTGCTGCACCACAAGAGGTTTGTATCTTAGGCTCAATTTTTTTCTTGGCTGCATACCTGTTAACTAGTTTCCAGTTTACCAGTTTTAAGTGTTATCAGGAAATTGAGAGATATAAGTTGGGAGATCCCAAGTCGTTTCATTATCTTAATCAATCCAGTTGCTATGAGCTGGTTGGTGTGAGTGATTCCCATGATTATCTTGCCACCAGGAAAGCCATGGATATTGTTGGAATAAAAAGGGAAGAACAGGTTTCTCCCTTGTTTTCGATCTTAAAATATTTCATCTGCATGTCTCGAATGTTTTTATGCCATTAGATGATTCATTCTCTCTCTCTCTCTCTCTCTCACAGGATGCCATTTTCAGAATTGTGGCTGCAATTCTTCATCTTGGAAATATTGATTTTGCTAAGGGGGACAATGATTCATCAGTGGTAAAAGATGAATCTGAATTCCATTTTCGAATGACAGCCGATCTGCTCATGTGCGATCATGGTTCTCTCAATTCTTATGGTCTATTATTTCCTTTGCATTTCAATCTTACCCTATTAAAGGAATCTGGTTTCAGGTGTGACCATCAAGCATTGCAAAATGCACTGTGTAAGCGTGTAATGGTCACCCCAGAAGAAATTATAATGAAGAGTCTGAATCCTGATGCTGCAGTAATTAGTAGGGATGGTTTAGCTAAGACAATATATTCTCGCTTGTTTGAATGGTATGATACTATCATTTTAACTGCTTTTAGGTTTTCTAACAAATACTTTACTAAATTTCTTCCAAATTTCAAAAAAGGAATTGTTGAAGTATGGATTTGTATTTTGTTCAGGTTGGTGGATAAAATTAATGCCTCCATTGGGCAAGATTGTCACTCAGAAACTCTCATTGGGGTTCTTGACATTTATGGTTTTGAAAGCTTTAAAACTAATAGGTAATGACTGATAACACTGTTGCTTATATGTTTGCAAGAAACTGATTGACCTAGCTGGTTAGCTGCATCATATGTGATTGTCTTAAGCCCAATCTGTAATGCCAATGGCAATATGGCATGCAGATCCGACTTCCAAAAATTTTGTTTAACTTCAAGATCCCTTGGTAACAATACCACCATAATTGTTTTTTGATTGTATTAGAATATTAAGTTGTAGGACTAAAAGTTTCCATCCAAGATCCCTTGGTAACAATACCACCTTAATTGTTTTTTGATTGATTAGAATATTAAGTTCTAGGACTAAAAGTAGTCATCCAAATAAAATTAAAATATTTTGTTGTGCTGTTGACCTCTATCTAAACAGCAATTTTATATGAAAATGTGCCCTTATCAGATCTTGTGAGTTGTGATTATCTGGCCAAAGGTGAGCTCCTCTAAATGTTGTTGTGAGAATAGGTTCTCTTCTTTTTTTTTTTTCTGGCCATTAGCATGAGAATAGTTTTGGCTGTCAGAAATTTTGCATTAAACCACTCTCAATGAGAAAATCAGCCTTTTGTGCTTGTTAATCCAAGCCTTGAATGCTTTTACCACTCTGTGGGTTGAAGACTTATGATAGACATGAATGTTTCCTCAACATCTGCAACCTACATTTTATTTCCTGCTATTTCAATGTCTTATTTTCTGATCTACCAAGAATCCATATTTAAGCCATCCGTTACGGGGCTGACTATGTTGAGTTTTAGGCTGTGGTGATCTGAATGCTAGATTGTTGAGTTTCCTGGAATGCAAAACATAACCCTTACAGCACAAATGATGAAAGTGGCTGTTGTACTTGAGACGTGAAAGGACCTTAATTTCTTTCTTTAGTATGACATCTGTTTATTGATGAGTGTTGACTGAGAAGACTGGATGGAACCCTTGCTATACACTTTGCATAAATCATCCAAGCAAATCATAAAGTGGATATAATTTTGTCCATGCATTCAGACATGATAGCCCTCTTTCTAAACTCTGTTGATTTAAACACTTGAAGCACTGAAATGGAAATTGTCAAAGGGCATCATGGATGGAAAAATAGTCTCTCTTTTTCAACTTTCGCTTGTCAAAATCTATGTTTTGGGAACTGAAAATTTCATTATATGGGTTGTTTAGTACATAAGAGCTGCTGTTACATTGAGAAACCCAAGGTTTGGTTCTTTTGAACTTTATAATCTAGAAAATGATATTTGAAAATAAAATCAAGTCTGTTAAATTTCACTCATTAGGCTTTAACATATTGTGCTATGCAGTTTTGAACAGTTCTGTATCAACTTCACAAATGAAAAGCTGCAACAACATTTCAACCAGGTATGAGGTCAGTCACATTTGAGAACTTTAGATTGAAATCAAACTTCGAGCAATATACTGAGTTTGATGTTGGAATGCAGCATGTGTTCAAGTTGGAGCAAGCAGAATACAGAAATGAGGAAATATATTGGAGCTATGTTGATTTTGTTGACAACCAAGATGTCTTGGATCTAATTGAAAAGGTTTCATACCCTACATTTTCCTTTTCAGTATACTCCAGCTCCTCTTGAATAAAACTTACCTGCCTGCTCTTACTCTTTCCTGCATGTTTTGGTTATTGTTTATCATTTGATAGTTTTACCTCCTAGAGGTCTAGTGAGAAGAAAAAACTTGTGTGTCCCTGCATGAATGCTATGAGAATGCTGTCACTAAGTAAAGTTCCTTAGTGCAACATGATTCTGGTTCCCGGTTCATCAGTAGGAAAATCTAGTTGCCACTAAGACTGGGAGAGATTAGGTTGAAAAATATTAAAATAACCCTAAATTTTTAGTTAGACGTTTGGGAAAGCTTCCTGTAGAAATTTACAATTATCTAATAAAGGTGTAAATTATATACTTCTGGTCTGCTTCCATGACAACCGGGTCTGGCATTGTTGGCATTGGTGGCATTGTGTGTGTCACTGGTTTTGCATGCGGTTTGTTACTTCATAATTGTCATTGTGTGTGCCACTGGTTTTGCATGCAGTTTTTTATTTCATAATCTGTAAAAGTTACATGATGGTTTTTGCGTTTCAAAGTGGCATGTTAAATCTACCCTTACAGATTGATGCTCTCTAGATTATCTAGATTAGCTGGTCTTTAAAGTTAATAATGTCTCTTTGAAAAAGAAACAAGCATATCTTAAAAATGGCTATTGCTCATACCGTAGAGGATAACTGCTATCAGGCGGCTTTAGATTATGGATATCTTCCTTCAATGAGATTGTACGCAATCTGATATCACAATGTCAAATTTGCTTTTAATAGCTTCTCGATGCTGGAGTAGGGGTCGCATGTCAAATTATAGTTGGGAGCAAGAAGGGTTATTAATATTAACGCTAGGAAAAATATTCAAGGTGGTCTGACTTTCAGCTGTCTGCTGAAGTACAGAATCCCACATGGGCTACAACATTACTTTTGGAGTGCATAAGAATAATAAAGCCACGTAGGTTACTTCTCTAATTTTACTTTCTTGGAGTAAAAAGGTTGAGGGACTTATCCATAATCTATAATAGTATAATTGTTAGTTTTCTGGCCAAATAGTAGCATAATTGTTAATTGCTGAAGAAATTAGGGTAAAATCTTCTACATTTCTTAAATAGAAATTTATTTATTTATTTATTTATTTTTTTGATAAGGGCAATGATTAGTAGGTTAGTATTGTTAGATGTTAGCAATTGGGGATTCAATTCTTAAATCTGATAACAGTTTATTGACCTCAATGAGGCGTGCAGCCATTGAGCCGCTTGGTGGAATTCCTTAAATAGAAATTGTACCATATATGTAGGGGCAAATTATAGGATTGCGGCTCTAACAAATCATAATTGTCACAAATTAAAGCTCTAGTCATCTGCTCATTATAGTTTTTTTTTTTTTTTTTTTTTTTTTTTTTTTCAAATTTGTGACTTATCAATAATTCAAGATTTTAGTTCAGCCAAAAAAAAAAAAAAGAAGAAAAATTCAAGAGTATGTTTTCTATTCCAATTAATTTTTTTTTTTTGCAAACCAGCATAATTGAAAAAAATCTGAGAAACGTAACAGGAGAACTAGGAAGTATGCTGATATCTTCAAAAATAAAAGTTGAGAAGCAAGAAGGGAAGGATGGAACGAGAAGAAGAAGATAGCTTCTGAAACAAAAATTGAGAATAAAAAAGGGAAGGGAGGAAGAAGAGGAGAAGGAGGAGGAAAAAGAAGAACAAAGGAGTAAGAATGCAGATGGGTGAAGTTAATGTACCTGAGGTGCAAGTTGGAGTTGGTACCCGTTTGGTGTAGTAGTTTTGGGATAACTGTTAACGGTTTTGTCTAAACCGTTAATAATAAGTGTTTGATAAACTTATACATTTCAAAAACACTATAAATAAGGTTCTTAGTAAAAATTTTTATTTAATAGTTTGGGACTAACTGATAGCGTTAGGATTTAAATCTCTAGCGAATTAAAAAAACTAACTTAGAACCTATTTGGTATAATGGTTAAAATTCAACGGATAACGGATGGTAAATAACGTTTTCAATTAATATAATTGTTTGATTATACAATAGTTAGTGATTATTATTTTAAATTAAATGACTGATAAAGATATGTTTAAAAATAATTATGTGTTTTTTATATTTTTATTATTAAAATTATTAATTTTGGAAAAAAAATAATAAATAAATTATAATAGTGTAATCATATACTAATTTTTATTTTTAATAAGAAAAAATTACATTAATTTTAATAAAGTATAAAAATTTTAATCTTTTCTCTAATTAACAAATATTGTTTATTAAGTTCATATATTTTTTATGATAAATTCATGTAAAAATAAAAATATAATAATTATTTAATATTATTAAAGATAAAAAATAAAGTTGAAACTAATTAAATAAGTACTAATTAAAAAATGTAGCAAAAAATTAAAATAAAAAAAATAAATTTGTTAATAGAATTAAAAATTTTCAATTTGCTAATGGTTTGATACAAAAAATTACTTTAAGTAGCTTTTTCAATTCATTAGTGGTTTCAATTCTAATTGCTATTCGTTTAATTCTAATAGGTAAATAAAAAGTTTTATCAAATATCTAGTTTATAGCAATTTTGAAATAAACAAGTTTATCAAACACTTATTTTTAACAGTTTGGGTAAAACTCTTAACCATCATCTCTAAATCACTATATCAAAAGTGCCCTTAAATGCTTTTTTTAACCAAATCGTTAATGAATTGAAAATTTTTAATTTTATTGATAAATTTATCTTTTTTAATTTTTTAATTTTTGACCACAATTTTTAATTAATATTTATTTAATAAGTTTTAATTTTGTTTTTTAACCTTTAATAACATTAAGTTATTATTATATTTTTATTTTTTATATTAATTTATCATAAAAATATATTATCTTATTAAATAAAATTTAGTAGTTAAACAAACTGATTATTTTTATTTAAAAACAATATAATTTTTTTGTTAAAAATACAAACAAGGGTGTAATTACGTTATTATAATTAATTTTATTTATTTATTTTCTTATTATTATTTTTATAAAATTAAAAATTTTAATAATAAGGAATAAAAAATTTTTAAAAAATACATTTAATTATTTTTAAACATGTCTTTATTAATCATTTAATATTGAACAATAATTGTTAACTATTGTGTAATCAAACAATTATATTTATCGAATCTATCATTTGCTATCTGTTATTTATGATCAACTTTTTAGTATCTATTATTTACTAACCGTTATTATTTATCTATTAACTATCATTTGCTACTCATTACGCATTACTCATTACTTATTATCTGCTACCACTTTTTACTATCCATTACTTATTTACTATTTATTATTCATTAT